GGGCTCCAGGAGCTGCTGCTCCCTGGAAAATGCCAAGTGGTTATGTGGGGGAGGCACCCAAGCTCCAAAAGCACAAATGCAAACTGGCACCAGTTTTCACCAGCTTTCAGCAAGAACAGGCTTTCTCTCAGACGTGAGATCACAGTAATAAGAAAACTGTATTTTTCTCATCTGTACTGGGTTGTTGTGGGTTATTTTTTCTTCAGAGCTTAGTTCTGACCTCCAGATTTATCCATCATTAGTCAATATCTTCAAATTAATGCTTATTCTGATGGTTTCCTTCTCGCTAGGTCTGATCTTTGTGGTTGACAGCAATGACAGAGAACGTGTGAACGAGGCCAGAGAAGAGCTGATGAGAATGTTGGCAGAAGATGAGCTTAGAGATGCTGTTCTATTAGTGTTTGCTAACAAACAGGTATGCCCAGGAAAGGGGTCACTCTGCAGGAACTCTTGAAAATGTCCAAAATGCTCATGAGTGCCAGATTTTGACCTTGACAGTCATGTTTTCAGGGTAATAATAGATAAATTCTCAGTAAATGGCCATCCAGGTGTGCTGAAGGCAGCAAACCATAGATTAAGTTCTCACCTGAAAGGAGCATCTTTCTAAGGAGTCTTGGCTGATGGAAATTCATGTGTTTTCAGTTTTATAGGAAAATTCTACCAGTTTGATTTTTGAGGTTGATGTGGCTCAAGTGCAGCACCTGCCCAAGCTTCCTCCAAACAGAGAGGAAGTCTGGAATGCCAGAACATCCCTGAATTCTTCACTGAGGGTGTCTGAGGGCTCTGCTGGTGCTGATGGAAGCACTGGGCTGACTTTTCAAGTCCTTGTTGTTGACTTGTGAGCTGAGAGTTCTGCCTCTGATTGCTTGTAAAGGTCTTGGCGGCTTAAACCAAATGTCAAGGACCTTAAACATGACTAGTAAAGGTAAAGAGGGAATAACATCCCCCTTCATCATTGCTCTGGCTCAGCTGGGATGGTGAAGAATCCATAAGTCGTGTCTAGGAGCTGGGCAGGTGGGCTGTAAACAGGAGCTGTGCAGTGATTTGGGATAGAAGTTGATCTTAAATTATAGGTGCACTCACAGAAAAGATTTCCTGAGTGGAAAGTGGGCAAAACAGAGCTGGAATTGTAAAACCAGGTTTGGATCAGCACTGTGGGGCTTGATAACTCTATCAAAGCAATCAGCTGTCTCGCTTACCTGTGAAATATTCCATAATATTTGCTTTTGGTGGTGGTGTCAGCCCAGGGGAAATGGCTTGAATATCAAAGCAAGCCACCGAGTTCTTCTGAAAGAGAAGTTCTGAGAGCTCTTAACTTTGGTTTTAATGCCTTTTAAAGCTGCCGATCAAAAGGGTGGGGGCGACAATGACTGTTGTTCCTTCCCCCAGGACCTGCCGAACGCGATGAATGCAGCAGAAATCACAGACAAACTTGGACTGCATTCCCTTCGTCACAGGAACTGGTACATCCAGGCAACCTGTGCCACTAGTGGAGATGGTCTCTATGAAGGACTGGACTGGTTGTCCAATCAGCTCCGAAACCAGAAATGAAACCATAAACCTTCCTCTTCCCTCTTTTTCCACCTCCCCCCGCCCCCTCTTATTTCCTCCTACTCGCCCTTCGCTTTACTCTAATGTGGCAAACTGTGCTACTTTGTGGTATTGAGTGCCGGAAGCTGTTTTCATTTCTTTTTTGTCACAGTATATATTGCATCATGCTGTAAATGTGGCAAATACAAGCCTGAAAACAGTTAGGTTTCTTATTTAATGTAAATAGTTTTTGTTTCCAATGAGGCAGTTTCTGGTACTCCTATGCAATATTACTCAGCTTTTTTTATTGTAAAGAATCAAGTCACTGTTTAGTACCTGGAAGGGATTTAATTGGGTTAATAACACAAAGGGTTGCCAGTGGTCCTTGTGCAGTAGAGCTGAATTCCACCTCGGTTGGGTTGTGAGATCTGTGAGATCCATTTCGGCGGTTGGTTTTTAACTTGAATTCTGTATTTTTTTAACTAGACAAGGAAAAGTAAAAACACTTCAGCACAGCACACAAAACGTTTTTGACATCGCTTCTGCTGCTCCAGCTCTAACGTGGTGACTCTTGATTCTTTTGAAAGGGTGAGGCAGTGATTGACACCCAGTTAGCTTCATCTGCTTAACGAACAGGTCATGACCGGTAGATCTCTGGCTCTTTCCGTAGCTCATAGTCTGTGCTCATCCTCGTTCACAACCGTTACAAGATTTGCTGGGCCTGGTTTAGGTGAGCTTTGCAGACTCATGCTAAACATCTGACTTTTGGTTCAGGTGAGATTTCTCGTTTCCGTTGGACTCGAATCATTTCCAGAAGTCGACATTTTTAGCCTGTCGTATTTGTCAAAAAGTGTTTTTGTACTTTTCTTGTGCGTAAAACCACTCCAGGAGGCAAAACCTTCCCACAGGGTGCACAGCCTGTCCTAGTCCTGAGCTCTATAGGCAGAAAGTACTGTACTTAACGTAAGAATTGCCATGAAAAACACCAAACATCTATGTATAGTGTCTAGGAAAAACAAACAAACAAAAAAGCATGAGAGTTTGGAGAGTCATTCCACTCTAGAAGTATTCAATCCCATTTTGGAACAATCCCATATCTGTATATGTGTGAAAACCCTTGGCATCCCTCATACTGCAAGGTTCAGATTTGCCATCAGAAAAATAAAAAAAAGACCTCTTTACTTTTCTTTTGTATTTTGATAAAACACTGAAGAAGCTGGAGCTGTTAAAAAAACTTTAACTCGAGGAACTATCAGAACTGGTTTATTTAGTGTTGTGGAAACCTTTATTGCTTTCAATACACAATTAGTAATCAACTGTTTTGTATACTTGTTTTCAGTTTTCATTTCGACAAAGAAGCACTGTAATTAAAGCTATTAGAATAAAAATCTCTTAACTATTTCATGTTTTTTATGCCTTGCTGTTCATTCGATCATCTTGGCAGAATCATGATATACTTGTTGAATAAAAAGTTTCATGAAACTTGCACTGGTACGGTGTTGTTTGTATCATCTTTGTGCAGGGCCGTGTGCTGGACCCAAACCCAACCGCAGTTTGCATGGAAATTTGAGGATATCTCCTGTGTAATGTTAATCATTCCTGGTTGGAATCCTGCAGGTCAAGTGGTGGGTGATGGAGTTGGGCTCTGCTGGAGTCACTTCATTGCCTCTGGGGATCCCTGGAGCTTCTTTGGTTGCCCCATCACTTCCCTTGTTGGATTGTTCCCCCCTGCTGATCCCATTTAATAACAGGATCTGTGAATTAGCAGTTTTGTGTGGGAAAATAGGAATTCTGCTTTTTTAAACTGTTGTGCATTTTTCCCTTCTGCAGTCCCCTCTGGATCCGGGACAGAGCTCCTCCTCCTCCTCCTCCTCCTCCCAGCTGATCCTCCTGCCTTCCCTGTCAGCTGCAGCTTCTCCTGGATGGTCACACTCAGGCTGCCAGCCAGGAGCCGCCTGTTTTCCTGGCTGGAGCTGCAGCAGATTCCCCAGGACACAGGCTGGCCAGCTGTAGGATGAAAGGTCTGTCATGCAGGTTAGAGAGCCCATTCCCAGCAGGGAAACTTGGGGTCCTGGATGGGTAACAGGGATTTTGTGGCTGTAAAGGGTAAATAGCACTGGGAAAAAGGGGATCCCAAACCTCCTGCGAGTCAGGTTGGTCTCCCTTTGGAATGTCAAGCTCTGAGTCAGGATTGCTGCATCCCTGATAGGGCAGGACCTCTCTCTGTTCCTGTTCTGGGAGAGAATTGAATGTGAAGGGGCAGCTGGGATAGGATCCCGTTTGCTGTGGAAAACACAGGGAATGTGCTGATGTTATGGGAACTGTGGGAGATGCGCTCTGCCCCGTGCTCTGGACAGCCACAGGCTTTGCTCTGTTCTGGGCTGGACTGGCCCCTCGGGAATTTTGGCCACCCAGGGGAAAGGATCCTGCCCAGTCCCCCAGGAACCTGTGGAGCAGCTGAGCAGGGAGGGGTTTGGGGTGAGCAGCCCTTCAGTGGGGCCTGGCTCCTTCACATCCCCCCTCACCCTCAGTTGTGGCTTATCCGTATTTCCCCAACTGTTTTACTCAGGTCTTGGGAGCGTGAAATAGGAAGAGGGGAGAGCTCAGGAGAGCTGGACAGCTGTGCCACAGCCCCTCTGGCATCGTGCTTGGCACATCCGCACCTCTGGCACTGGCTGGGACACGTGTGTGGAGCTGCGAGTCTGGTGAGCAGCAGCAGGGTCAGAGCCCCACTCCTCCTGCTCTCCCTGGGCTGGAGCTGCTCAGACCACGAGGAACAGCCCCTGTGACCCTGCTAGGAATTTGTCACCCCCCGCAAACAGCCTCTGGGTGTGGGGGATCCCCGAAGGTCGGGGCCGCTCCGCAGCCTCTCCTGCTGCCCGTGCCCAGCACGTGCTCATGGCCAGGGAGGGACCGAGGACAGAAGGGCTTTGTCAGCTCCTCACCCTGATCCTGCTGGGCCTTTGTCCACCAAGACACACAAACCCTCCCTGTCTTAAATTGCATCATTAATTACACAAACGAGGCTCTTGTGCTTGGCACAGCCCCACTGGACCCGGAGATGCTCCGGAGCTGCTCGGGACAACCCCTTCCCTTTCCCAGCAGTGTTCCTGTTTAGTGATGTGAAATTCCCCCTTTCCAGGGCGCCCAGGACATAAATACTCATGTTTGGAGGGTTTAAATCCCTGATGGGAACAGAGTTTGCTGCTCCCTGGGGTGGGTGGATGTGGCCAGGGGATGGCACTGATCCCATCCATCTCCCCATCAGCTAAGGAATTATTCCAAGTGTCCAAGGCCAGGTTGGGGCTTGGAGCAACCTGGGATAGTGGAAAGTGGCCCTGCCCATGGCAGGGGGTGGAACCAGATGAGCTTTAAGGTCCCTTCCATGCAGCTATGAATTTAGGGAATGTTTAAGGAAACTCTTCCAACTGCTGTGCTGGCAGGTACTCGAGGGCAAGGAAAGAAGATAAAATAATAATAATAATAATCATCTCTTCCAAAATTTCTGTACATAAACACGAGGTATCCACAGCATTTCCAGCACCACAGCTGGAACCATCCCAGCACCAGCCCTCGCCCCACAGCATCCGTGCTAAATCCTGCCTGGATGGGTTGAGGGATCCAGGGATGAGGAGGAAGGGGCCTGGGCACCTGCTACCCCCAGGGGTGGGCAGGGGCTGTTGGCATCACAACCTTAATGCCCTTTGCCAGACTCTGGGCCTGCAGAGCTGCAGCTTTTTTCATGGATCCACCTCCAAAAACAGAACTGCTCTGTGGGATCTCCCTGGAAGGATCCCGGGCTCCCCCTCAGTCCGAGTCGGTGTCGTGGCGCTGCCTGACCCCACGGGACGGGGGGGTCCTGCTCCTGCTCCTCTTCCTGCCCCTGCGCCGCGGGGATGGGTGGTGGCCGCGGCTGTCCCTGTCCCTGCTCCGGCTCCGCTTCCGCCTGGAATCCGCGCTGCTCCCGGAGGAATCCGTGTCGTGCCGGCGCCGGCTGCCGTGCCGCGATGTCTCCGAGTGCTGCTGTGCTTTCCTCCGGTGGTGCCTGCAGGGAGAGGAGGGTGAGTGGCAGCAGGGGACACCTACAAGGTGATTCTGGAGGTGCAAAAGGGATTTTTGGAATGCCAGACCTCCTAAATGCTTTCCTAAATCCTTCATCCCGTTTTCTGGGGTGATGCCCCAAGACCAGGGCTCGGCCCCCATCCCTGCCCATACCTCTTTTCCTGATCCGGAGAAGAATCGGAGGACGAGGGGGCAGTGTCTCTCTTGGGATGCTTGTCCTTGTCCTTCTTCTTCTCTTTCTTATGTTTCTTCTTTTTCTTCTTCTTTTTCTCCTTTTTGGATTTTTTGTTGCTCTCTGGCCTGCAGGGAAGAGAGAGATCAAACAGGGAAAATCCCTGCCCTGTGCATCCCTCTGGCTCCTCCAAAAACTCATCCCCATCCCTCCCTCCAGGCACATCCCACCACATCCCTTGGCCAAGGAGAAACCCACAGAAATAAAAAAGAACAAAGAGGTTTTAGGGGGAAAGCAGAGTTTTTCAGGCAGATGCAGAACAAACCCGATGCCAGAGGGAGCCATGGGAGCATTTTGCAAAATATTCCCTGCAAAAACCAGGCCATTTCAGGTGGTTTCCTACCAAAGTGGGAAAACTCCTCACCGTTTCTCCTCCACCTTCTCCTCCTTCTCCTGCTTCTTCCTGGAGCCAGATGTCTCAGGGCTGCTGGAGACTTTCTGGTGCTAGGGTTGGAGAGGGGGGGAAAAACAGGGAGCAAATCCATGAGCCCATAGCTTTGAATTACAAGAAAAAGGGAATTTTTTTTTACCCCCTTTAAGAATGACATTTGAAAAAAAGCAAAATAAAATGAAATGAAATCTGGGAGAAAAATTAAAGCCTCATCCAAATTAAACCCCACAAATTAACTCAGGACACGGGGAGCTCCTTCAGGTCTCTGTGCTACAACACCCAGGTTGGGTTTTAAATAAGAATTTAAATATTTGAAGTTAAAATATTCCATTTTTTGCCTCTTCCTGTCTCTTTTTTAACCTCCCAAGGACAACACAAGCAGTGCTTTACCGTGAAGACTGAGAGCCCCATCTTGGCCGCCTCCTTGTCCTCCTTGGAGAGCATCACCCGGCCGGCACTGCCACTGGGGAGAGACCACAAGAAAAAGACCTTAAAAAAGGTAAAATTGGCAAATCTGACTGCCCTGGAATAGGGGTGGGATTCCCCCCTGCCTCTCTTCCCTACCTGGAGCTGCCCAAACCCACCACCCGATCCACGTCCTTGTCGTCCCGCTCGGCGCCCTCCCGTTTGCAAACCTCAGCCAGGTCCTGTGGGAAGGGGAGGGGGAAGAGCGTCCTGGGCGTGCCCCCCCCTCCCAAAAAAAGAGCCAAGGGGAGGGGACACCCCCCAGGGATGTAGGGGGGGACACACAGTGCCCCCATTACCTCCTTGCTGAGGCCCGTGGGCTGCCTCTTCACGTTCTTGTAGCCCCTACAGAAACAGAAGCGGGTGATGCGTATGGGGGAGAGGCTCTGCACCCCCTGTTTTTGGGGGGGGTGTGTGTGGACTCACAGCGCTGCCATCATGGCCTCCTCCTCGGCCAGGCGGACGGCAGCCAGCTCTTCCTCCCGGGATAGCGGCGGGGCCGTGTCCTTCTTGCCCTTGGCGTACCAGGTCAGGTCCTTCCCCTTCTGCCACCGCCCCACCGGCGCCATCAGCGAGTTCCCTGTGGGGACA